GAAAAACAGAGGGGGGGGGGGGGGGGGGGTCTAATAAAATGGTCACAAAGCAGAATCAATTCCACAGTTCATTAAGAAAAAAACACTTTCCACAAAGCTCCCGTTATTCTAACACACACAGAGCCAACACAGAAACACACACACATCCTGAAGCTATCGAACGGCAAACAGTGAGGTCTGTATGAACAGTGAGACAGGCTCTCTCTATGTAGGAATTTACAAGCCACGACTCCTAAATGCTCAGACATAGAGAGTCTGTGTGTGAGAGAATTCATTTCTGATTCAAATGAAATACAGATGTTATACAGGACAGATCACAAACCGTCTGATGTCATAAATGTGCATAACCATTTACACAAGTCTTCCAGAGAAACAAAATGAAGTGATGATAAAAAAGAAATTATGATATGCAAGACATCCTCATACAGTCAAGGGAGCAGGACTAAATTAAGGACTGGGTGACTATATGAAAACTGAAAATAATAACTAAACAAAAAATAAAGTTAAATTAAAACTGAAAGTAAATCTAAATCAAGTCATCTTTATTTGTATAGCGCTTTTTACAGTACCGATTGTGTCAAAGCAGCTTCACAGTGATAAACAGGAAAAATAGCAGAATCAGTTATTGAGTTCGGATTCTGCTGTAAAAACTCTAAAAGACGATTGTTCAGATCAAGTCAGTTTAGTGTTGATTCATTTTAAATCACTAACAGTGTGAATTTCATTGAATTATGAAGCGAATTCAGTTCTACAAAATGCTTTAGTCAGATCAGATTGAGTTCAGTTCAATAACAGTCTCAATAATCCAAGTTTTCACTGTCTTAAATTCGTTTTACAGGTATTTTTTTAATTAATAGTATTTTTTAAACAGAATTTCCCTTTTTTTCCCCATTAATAAAATTAAGTGCCTGTTGTTTTACAGATAAAATATAACGTTTTACATTTAGAATTGCAGGTAAATTAATCATACTTTGAGATCACATAAATATTATTGTTTTAAAAGTTAATTTATAGTATTTTTACAGATAAAAACAGGGTTTCTGCAGGATTTTTAAGCTCAAATTTAAGACCTGCACAAATAAAATTAATACCATATGAGCCGGGTAGGGCAATGTCTATAGTATTATCATATTAAACTGTAAAATTCTAAAAGACGATTGTTCAGATCAAGTCAGTTTAGTGTTGGTTCATTTTAAAATCACTAAGTGTGAATTTCATTGAATTATGAAGCGAATTCAGTTCTACAAAATGCTTTAGTCAGATCAGATTGAGTTCAATTCAATAACAGTCTCAATAATCCAAGTTTTCACTGTCTTAAATTCGTTTTACAGGTATTTTTTTAATTAATAGTATTTTTTAAACAGAATTTCCCTTTTTTTCCCCATTAATAAAATTAAGTGCCTGTTGTTTTACAGATAAAATATAACGTTTTACATTTAGAATTGCAGGTAAATTAATCATACTTTGATCACATAAATATTATTGTTTTAAAAGTTAATTTATAGTATTTTTACAGATAAAAAACAGGGTTTCTGCAGGATTTTTAAGCTAAAATTTAAGACCTTTTTAAGACCTGCACAAATAAAATTAATACCATATGAGCCGGGTAGGGCAATGTCTATAGTATTATCATATTAAACTGTAAAATTACTGTAAAGCATAACTTACAGTTCAGATACAAGTTTTCACAAAAACAGAGTTTTATAAAATGATAAACTTTACATTTCAGCATTTAAACCATTTTTAAGAAAACAGATGAATCAAAAGTATGTTATTATATTAATTTAAACAATTATTATCAATAAATTATTATCTCAATTAAATAAATTAGGGGTGTGTGATATTGACAAAAAAATGATATCTCTATAATTTTCTGGGATTTTATCGATAACGATAATTAGACAATATTTTGCTGAGTGTGTTATTGTGCTGATATCTTATCTCTAATTGTGCTCCGATCTCCTTGCTACGTTTCTGGACGTTGATCGTGTAAACCTGTCTATTGGAAGGTCAGAGAGCTCTCAGATTAGTGCTGGGGGGTATACCGGTTCATACCGAATACCGGTGTTTATTTTTGTTATGAATTTTAAAAATACCGCAATACCGGTGTATGTCGCTTAAACAACGTTCGGAATGCGACACTGTTTGAAAAGGGTCCCTTTTCACTGTTGCACTGTGGTGAGGGAACAGCTGTATGTGTTACTAAGCTGAAAGTTCCGAAACTGAAGCTGTAGAACTAATAGAACGTGATGACACATTTACATTTAGTCATTTAGCAGACGCTTTTATCCAAAGCGACTTACAATTGGGGGATACATAAAGCGATTCTTCTTAAAGAGGCAAACAGACACAAGAAGTGGTTGTAATACCAAGTTCTTAGACATTGTTCAAATAAGTACAAGCTAGAAAGAGAAGGAATAAATAAAGAGAAACTTTTTTTTTTATGATGAAGTCAAGTAGCTTCGAAAGAGATGAGTTTTCAGCTGTCTCAGTTTTCAAAATTGTCAGGGATTCAGCGTTCCGGATAGGGGTGGGAAGATCGTTCCACCAGCCAGGAGTGGTGAACGAGAATGTTCTGGAAAGTGATTTTGAGCCTCTCTGTGATGGCACCACGAGGCGTCGCTCACTAGCGGATCTCAGACTTCTGGAGGGGATGTAGATTCGTAGCAGTGAGTGGAAGTAGGCGGGTGCTGAGCCTGTGGCTGTTCTATATGCAAGCATCAATTTCTTGAACTTGACACAGAAGAACTCATCCACAATATCCACATTGACCGCCACAAATATCCACCGCCCCCTGCCATCAGCTCCCGCGTCTCACACACACGAGCGTGACTTATGCATGTTGATTTTATCAGACAATGCCGCGATTATAAATGAGAGTGACTCCTGGTTAACACGTATTAAAAGGGGTCGTTTTCAGTCACTATTTAGTGTGGTATTTTTTTACTATATTCAATCAACATGACAGTAAAATAGGGCATTTTAAGTCAATATACTGCAGTATTTCCTCTCTCAATCAGTAGAAAATATGGTTAACACCCGGTCATGCATGAGAAAAAAAATACCGTCATGTACCGTGAAACCGGTAAAATTTTGAAAACCGTGATGTAAATTTGTGGCCATACCGCCCATATCTCAGATTCCATCAAAAATATCTTGATTTGGGTTCCGAAGATGATCGTAGACGTATTAAAAGGGGTCGTTTTCAGTCACTATTTAGTGTGGTATTTTTTTACTATATTCAATCAACATGACAGTAAAATAGGGCATTTTAAGTCAATATACTGCAGTATTTCCTCTCTCAATCAGTAGAAAATATGGTTAACACCCGGTCATGCATGAGAAAAAAAATACCGTCATGTACCGTGAAACCGGTAAAATTTTGAAAACCGTGATGTAAATTTGTGGCCATACCGCCCATATCTCAGATTCCATCAAAAATATCTTGATTTGGGTTCCGAAGATGAACGTAGGTCTTACGGGTTTGGAACGACATGAGGGTAAGTAATTAATGACACTTTTCATTTTTGGGTGAACTATCCCTTTAAGCAACGGCGTGTATTTATATGCACATAAATGGCTATATATGGCAGACTCTCATGAATAGGACTCATAAGACTAAATATATTATCCCAAGGAGAATTTATATTCAGAAACCTAAGCTCTCACTTATATGGATAATTAGTTAGTGTGCTGGTTCTATGATTAACTAAACTTGGTGAATGATTTACAGTTCAACTACATATCCCAGCATGCATTGCACATGACGTCATGGTCTCACTAAAATGTCACAAGACTCTTAATGATCCATATTTTCCAACGTTCACCGAAAAGCCCTCAAACCTCGTTAAAATAATCAAAAGAGATCTTTTAGACCCATTTCAGGGTGTTAAACAGGTCAGTTATGGTGCCTGTGACGATTATAAACACTTAAGGGCAAATATATCGGCGTGTTTGGAAACACTTTGCCAGTGCAGAGAAATTACAAACATATAAGTCACAAACTTTAACCAAAAATAAGTCAAATAAGTCCTTACCTTCGTCTCCATTATACCCACATTAACCAGTCATTACAGAAACCTGCAGTTTGATTGCGACAAACTCTCTCTTCTTCATCCAGACATTTTTCTTCTGCCAAAAACAATCCTTCTCAAACCGCTTTAGTTACTTCACCAAATACACTTTACTCTTTTGCCCGAACCAAACAGACTCAAATGTAGTGGAGTCAGAAAAGTGTGTGAATCCAAACTCGACGTTTCCAGAGTTTATGTGCTGTTCAACTTCACTGCAGCTGAGTGTGTTACACATAAGAGACACAACCGGAAACAAACTCACTGATCGAGTGGCCTGAAAAAAAACTCACACTGCTGCTGTATGCCTGTGTAGGACCTATATATATATATATATATATATATATATATA